TCATTTGTTTGCATTTATTTAATATCGAATTCAGAATTGTGTTTTACAAAAAAGAAAACAAAATTGAAAATTTTTTTCTGTGTTAAAACCATTATTTGGCGAATAATAAAAAACTAAACAGTGGTGTTGTGAGTATGACAGCGAACTAACAAGAACAAGAAGCCTAGGTTCGTATTCTGTGTGAGCGATATTTTTTTTAACAAAACATCTTTTTAACTCCCTATTTGTATGTATTTCTTTATATAGTGATTTGTTAGCGAACTTGGTAATGTAACTTTTTGCTGGGTAAATTTGAAAATTTAACACTGTGCAACGGGAACACGTACCGAAAATTTTTAGAAAAGTTAAAAATTGGGTAAATAAAGGTCTATACTTTTAAAATTACAATAAAAAACTCATTAATATCGAGGAGCAAAAAAAATAAAATTCATTATTTTGAAGAAATCAAAAAAGTACCTTTATTTGCCCATGTATCACTAAAACCCACTAAAAATACTTTTCGAGTGCAGGTCAAATGTACATACAAAGATATTTAGCAGTACATATTTACAATGTTTACGGTTACAACATAGTCATACATACATATTTATATCGACTGAATATACGGTTAAAGTGTAAAACTTGCCAATCGACCGACAAAGCAACTACATGAACATTATCAACAACTTTAGTTATTGACTCTAAAGAACACTGTAGGTGTTTACTGAATGGACATTAAGTGGCTTACAATCCATAGAAAAAATCTGTTTATTTTTATTTTTTCGTAACGAGCATGTTTCATTCTTGGTTTTGTATAAGTACCATCTACATACATACATATATACAGACATATATGTAGTACATATGTACATACTTATATACATTAACCTATATTACAAATATTTTGTACTTCACGTTCTCAATCCATTTACAATTTTTTTAGTATTCATATAGTTTTTGTTTAAAATCAGTTTAATTGGAATGGCATGAAAAATGTTTGCAGGTAGAACTAAATCTGTTGACAATAAAATTTCATCATATTTATGACTGTCTAAACAACATATACCCAGCAAAAACTCGGTATATGTTGTTGAGACAGTCATAAATATTTTGATCCTATACCATCTTAAATACACCAATCGATTTAAAATCATTTTCTGATTCTATTAGTCCTTCCGTCCGTCCGTTAAATAACCTGTATCTCGATAAAAATGGCTCAGCTAAGTTTTATAAACATTTTTCGGATTTCGAATTTATTGTACCATATTTGACTCACAAACAGAGCTCCCTTCAAAAAAATACTTAAATGTCCACAATTTACTTACAAAGACTAGTATCGCACAAATATATATATTTATGAAGCCTATTTCAGAAAAAAGTGTTTTTCGTCAATAAATTTCTTAAATATATATTATTAAATAAAAATATCAGAACCAAGGAAGTTAGTTATTTAGTTTTTTTTTACTCGTTCTCATTAAAAAACAAAAAGTTGAGGTTTGCTGAACTCTGAAAACCGAAAAAGGTTAAAATTGGGTTCAAAAAATTTATGATTTATTTTTTTAATAGTATTAAAATAATTATTTTCTCGTGAATAATTTTAAGCGAAAGCCTACAAAGTTATAGCTGTTTAAAGTTAAAAGTTTAAAAAATTCCGAAGATAGCTTTTTTTACTGGATCTCAAAAGTTGAAGTATATTACCCACAACGTAAGACCAAAAATACAATGAAATTAACACAAATACTTGCAAATAAATTTGATTTTTAAGTGTTTTTTTAACCTCTTCAAAAAAAATATATATATATATGTATATATATATTTTACGAAGTACACATGGAGAACCAAAAATTCAAAATCGATTTTATTATTGATCCTAATGTATTGCATCAAAACAAATGTTCACACAAAAAATGGGACTCCTCCGACCATGATTTGCGATTTTATTGACAAAAAATAAAAGGCCCTATCTACAAAAAAATGTTGTTTGTTTAATAAAAATAAAACGCACTGATAGAAACAAAATTTTCAATTTTTTTATTTCCATATTAAGAATCAGCACACCAAATAATACTAGAATTACTAAAAATTATTTAAAAAATGTTTCATCGATGGTCTGTGTAATCAGAAACTCGTTAAAATAAAAACCTGTTCGGTTAATTTAAATTGTGTAGAGAAATGTTATATACACATGAATACATATACTTTTTTATATTGCATTTAATGCAAAAACGTACTTTTTTCAAACAGCTTTTCGATTTTCTTATAAGCATCACTGTCAGCAACCGGTACCAGTTTTAATTAGCAGGCTGGTGTGGTTCATCGATTTTTAATGCAATAAAATCCCTCGTATTTAGTCCAAATTAAGAAAATCTGGATTTACCATATATTGCAATGATTCTACTCATAAAGAAAGAAATGAGTACAAAATTAAATCAAAATAGGAATTAATTCCAGAATTTGCTTATTTATAATAAGAAAACAAAAGATCATTAATTTACATAGGTTTGTTTCTAAATTTCAGAGCTGTACATACATCATTAATTTTTGAATTAATTCGTGAATTATTTGTGAATTAAATTAGCAAATTTTGGAGTAATTCTTTTTACATAAAAAACATGAGTCAATTTATATGAAATTGGTAAAAATAAATTGTAATTCATTTCCAACTCAAATGAATTGCAATTCGTTTCTAATTTAAATGAATTTGTCAAATGAATTGCAATTCATTTCCAATTCATTTGAATTGAATTGATTTTGAATTATTTCAAATGAATTAGAACAAGTAAGAGTGCTATATTCGGTTGTGTCGAATCTTATATTCCCATCATCAAACCGTATGCCGTAAAAGGAATGTTCCCCTATAAACATCAGAGTGATATTACTCATCAAATTTACTGAGGAGGATCTTATACGGGAGGTAGGGTGAATTATTGACCGTTCTTCATAAATATTTTTAGACCGATTTTGGTTTATATAAAATATGTTTACATCGAACATCAATTCCTGACACTTTCCACATGAAATTCGGATTTACGTTCCTATAAAAGTTTCTTAGGTTTTGGTTTCGTAAGAATCTTATTTATGTCAAATTTCATCTCTATACTCGTACTTTCAGTAATCAGTAAGTCAGTAATGAGCGTTAAAGTAATTATCTGAAGGGGTAGGTTCAATTATTGAGCGATCCATATAAAATTTGGTAGAGAGATTTTGGCTCATATGAAATACTAGTACTTTTTAAACCGTTAAAGCTCTTTTTCGAGGGTCATCTTGTATGAGGGCTATCCGAAAACGTGAACCGATATTGCCCATTTTCAATACCAAACAAACCTTACCTATAGAGAATATTTGTGGAAATTTAAACCCTCTAGTACATTCCGTTCGGACTCTATTGTACTTTCAACAGATAGACATGGCTAGATCGTCTTAGAATTTGTTAAGGACCCAGAATATATATACTTTTGTGGGTCTATGGCCAATATTTCGATGTGTCACCATTCTTTTTAATGGTGGATATAAAAAGGAATTGGCAAATTATTTCCAACTCATTTGAATTGAATTGATTGAAATATGAATTGATTTTGTTAGTAAAACTACACTGTAGATTTACTTAAAAATCTACAGAAAGTTATTGTTTAAGGTGAAGGATTAATTCTAAGTAAATATTTTCTTGATTTAGTTATATGTGAAAGATCAGCTTTTCAATTTTCGTACAGAATTATTTCATTTTGGTTTGAAGAAATTTCATTTTTAGATCCCCTAGATCTGCTTTTGAATTTGATTGATTGCTCACTTTTGATTTAATTCATTTGAATTGCAATTCATTGTTCAAATTCATTTGAATTAATTCAAAATCAATTCAATTCAAATGAATTGCAATTCATTTGTCAAATTCATTTGAATTAGAAACGAATTGCAACTAATTTGGCAAATTCATTTGAATTGGAAATGAATTACAATTCATTTGAATTAGAAACGAATTGCAACTCATTTGGCAAATTCATTTGAATTGATTCAAATTTCATTCAATTATCTTTGTTGTGAAAGGAATTAATTCAAAATTAAGCCAATTCGTAACAAATTAAAATCTGAAATGAATGTAATGAAAAACACTAATTTCTATATTTTTCATTCTAAGAAAAAATTCAAATAAATGGTAACACACTTTATGTGTGCATTAAAAAATACTTTCTCATTACGGTTAGTTATTATTTTACGAATACTCCTGACATTAGATCTTTCGCTAAACCGGAAATCGACTGTATTTATACATAATACACACATATATGTAAGCTTATTTTTCTACTTAAGTAGTATGATAAAACTTCATGAGTTCATGAAATAAATTTAGTTTTTGTTTCAACACCTCTGAGATATTATTGTGCTGGTGTTCTTATTCCAATTATTGTTTAAAAACATGTCAAATGCATGTTACGACCTTTTTTCCTCACTAAAAATAAATTTTCTTTGTAATATTTTTTTATTTAAATTTTATTTTTCAGATTGTTAGTGATTTGTCATTAAAACAACCACATGCAGGGAAATATTTAAACACTCACAAACTTGAAAATAAAATTTAAGAAAACAGTTATCATATGTTTTACATGAACTTAAAGTTAAAACAAACTCAATTGTACACGTGTTTTTTCTCTGGGAAATCCAAATATGCCTAATTTTTATTGTGCGTCCCATTGACGTTTCAGAAAAATTTAGGAAATTTGACATTGGTTTTTAAAGCATATTTTATCCTTAAGTGTATATTCTTGCACATTTATAATTTTAAGACAATGTTTTACTGTTGTAAGGGTTATTTCGATATATATATATATATATATATATATATATATATATATATATATATATATATATATATATATATATATATATATATATATATATATATATATATATAAGATGTATAGAAACCAATATTTTTGTGTTATAGATAATCAACATTTTAATGACCGTTATGTCACTGAAATTTAGTGATTTTTTTATTGTGGTGTTTTTATTTATATTCATTTCAGGCTACTTTCCTTTGGGCTCAGAGCACTGTCTGACGTGGATTTGTTTAGATGTGCTGTTTTGTACTGCCAGTATTATGCATTTATGTACCATTTCGGTTGACCGCTATTTATCTCTTCGTTATCCGATGCGCTTTGGACGAAACAAGACACGGAGGCGTGTAACTCTAAAAATTGTATTCGTCTGGTTACTATCTATTGCCATGAGTTTACCATTAAGTTTAATGTATTCAAAGGTAAATATGTAAAATATGTAAAAATACTCGACCACTTAAATAATTTGAAATTATCCGATTAATTTAATGAAACCACGAATAATTGATTATGAAGGTAATCAAAAACAAAATAGTTGTGATATTTTCTGTTTTAAGAAACCTGATGTAGAGTGTTCATCCTAAACAAATCGACACCTTTTATAAAAATTATTTATTCTAACATGTATTATATTTCAGTAGAAAATCAAATTTCTTTCAAACTATGTATATGCCAGAATTTAATGATTTATGATACGTTCAGCTGTTACTCAGGTATTATAGTTTTTGGACTCGAGACATTTTTACTAGGATCTAACTGTATTAAATTTAACTTATTTTAGCATATTTTTAACTTTTAATATTAGTAATAGTTTTATGGGTAATTCTTAATTTTAAGGCTTTTATTAATTTATTTGATTTCATATTAATGTTATTTAAGATATATTGGAAGTGAGACTCAGCTTTTAGGTTCTAAATACTCAATAAATTGCTAATAAAACGAACTTAAATATAAAAATTCGAAGCAAAAAGTATACATAAACAGCTTTCATTTGAGGTATTAATAATCAAATTCTAACATATAGATTGACAGTAAAACGATTTTCTACTAAAAAATTTTCTTGTTTCTATTTTTTGTGCCGGTACTGTAAATACATGGAAAACTTTAAAGTTATTAAAAATTCCCCAGGCTATTAACGAGTCTCAGAGCACTTGAATAAGCTTATATTCTTATTTTGGGAATTCTCGGTGTACAATAATGAATTATTATTTATTTGTCGGCCATACTAAATAAAAAAGACTGGAACTTATATTATAAAGTCCGATATTTAAAATAACAGCGTAGAAACCAAAATTCACACTTTAAATCACATGGAAACAGTGGGGTTACACTGGTGGAAATTCTAAAAGCAAGCTAATTTTTTGGTGATATTTAAAGTCATTAGAAAATGCAAAATAACGTATCATCATTTTGAAAATTGTGAGGTGAGAGGGAAAAATTGCTGAGAAATTAAAAGTTTTTTTTAAAGTTATTTATCGTTAGAAATCAAATAAATATTCGAATTAAGCTCTTTTCATGATATGTTATTTTGTATTTTAAATGACGATATGTATGTATGTCTGTTTGAAATAAGTACGTATGTAGAGGCAGTAATATGGCATATAAATGTATACATACATAATTCGACTCGACCGTATGAATTTTGAAGGTTTATGCTTTGATTCTTATTCGTTTATTATATTAACCACAAAATAATGGAATTCAAAGTTTTTTGTTTGTTTTTAACCTAACTCATGTTTAGTATTGATTTGTTTGTACGCTGAAGATTTTGTTTATTTTATAATTTTTTGGTTTTACATTTATTTTATTTATGTACACATGTGTTTAGTTTGTGTATATGTGTAAAATCGTTTTTTTATACCCTTCACCATCGTGAGAAGGGTATATATAAATTTGTCATTCCGTTTGTAATACAATTTTTCGTCTATATATGGTATATATATCGCACACCCAGTACAAAAGTGACTCAACTCAAAATTTTAATTGTACGTCTTTATATTCTTTAAGCCTTAAGTTTAAGCCTTAAACTATACACAAGATACTTGTTTATCTCTAAAAAATGTCAGTGTATTTTGTTGCTGTTAACTGTTGAAGGAAAGAAAACGTTATGTCTTTCGTTATGTTTCAGAATTTGTAAGAAATTTGTTCCTTTTCTGAAAAAAAAAAAAATTGAATTAAGTCGCTTTTGTACTGGGTGTTCGATATATTCTGCATATTAAATACGTATCTATAATATTGTTTTTTTTTTAAGAATCATGCCTCTGTATTGGTTAATGGTACATGTCAGATACCAGATCCCGTGTACAAACTAGTAGGATCGATAGTTTGCTTTTATATTCCCTTGGGTGTCATGCTGCTAACTTATTGTCTGACTGTGAGGTTACTGGCACAGCAACGTCAGAATCTTGGTGGAACCAATCAAACTGCAACACCCGGTTGGGCAAGTGGATGGTTGGGGCAAACACCAGCATTGGGTAAGTGTACAGAATATATGTAAATACTAAGAATATACATACATATGTATATCGCTCCTTTACAACATTTGCAAAGCGGCTTAGAATGTTTTACGTTATTTTGCTATTTTTCACATATTTTTAACATCGTATGTTATAAGAAATAATAAATATTATGTATACCTACATTCACACATACATACATACATACATACATACATACATACATACATACATACATACATACATACATACATACATACATACATACATACATACATACATACATACATACATACATACATACATACATACATACATACATACATACATACATACATACATACATACATACATACATACATACATACATACATACATACATACATACATACATACATTACATACATACATACATACATACATACATACATGGTGTCTGATAAACACCGCGTCAGTAAAACAGTTAAGAAAACTTCAGTCCCAGAGGAATTTTTAATATTTTTGTGTCGTGAAAACCATTGCTAAAAAGTTGTGAAGAAGACCCATACATTTCTTATTAAAAATAACTAAAACTCTAAATATTAAATATTTTTTCTTAAATGAATAATTAAAAAATGACGTCCAAGATTTTTTCTGAACTTAGATGGCCTGATTAAAGAAATCCATATAGAAATCAATCGGGGAAATATTTTGATCGAAAAGGGTCGGTAAAAAATTTGAAAAATTAATTTTCAGATGCGAATATCTGCTAAGGTATAATAGATAATTTATAGGTAAAACTTAAACCTACAACACTTCCTCTGTACGCATGTACCGTTTAGAAGTTACAGAATTATTTCCCTCGTTTTTATTTCTATGCCACTATGTAACGGTTAAATAAAAATAAACTATGTACTTCTACTTCTTCTGGCAAAGTATATAACGCGTTGCTGCGAACAATGCGTGTTGTATACTTCTACCTTTATAGATAGTGGAATCGATTAAGCTATGTCCGTCTGTTTGTTGAAATCAATTTTCTGAATTTTCGGGATCTAAATCTTCAATAATTCTATCATATATGTATGCCTTCAAAAAGTTTTTTGGTGAGATGGGTATTGTTTTTTTGTACAGACAGACGGATATGGCTTAATCGACTCCGCTATTTCGATTTTCAAAAAAAAAAAAAAAAAAATATGTATGTAATTAAGTTTTTGTTTTTCAATAAATATTAAAGATTTTGTATTAAACAACTTCATTCAAATGGCATTATTCATGTTTATAAAACGTGCATTTACAGAAAGACGTTGTACATGGCGACGTCTTTTAAAAACAGGCCACAATACTACTACAGCCGTGGCACATGCTCATTCGGCAAACTCAACAGATACAGAATTATCAACATTAGATAATCATGAACTGTGGTTACCGGAGTCAAGGTAATATTTAATATTTTGTTATATTTGTATATATATTTTCAAAATGATTTATTTGCAATTTTCAGCAATTAATGAATTCTGTAATCTATATTTTCAGTGTACCTGAAACAAAACATACAACAATGACTGCATTGCAACAATTTGGGGCAGAAATGCTTAAACTATCGAGAGGTTTAGAATCTGTAGCTTCTTCTTCAACAACATCCCCTACCAAATCCGAATTATCAACTGGATATTTGTTGTCTTTTCCACACATGCCTTTACAAAAACAAAACTCTTTGCAGCAATACTCTTTACCTCATCACCAACAATTCGAGCTACACAATCAACATCACCAAAATGTACATAACCAATTGCAGTTGCACACGAGCACAAATCAACAACAATTATCCACCGGACATCGGTCGTCGAAACATCAAGAACAACATGATCTAAATTTAGTAGACAAACCAAAGTTCATAAAAAACCATGAGTATCGGGCAATTACTACTTCGTCATCATTAACAAACCCTACAAAACCATTTCTAACAGTCATGACTTTCTCACAGGACTTTAGAACACGAAAGCGGTGAGTGTTCTGTATCATTTACATATAATAAGTAAGAATGTATATAGCAAGAGTAAGGGTAAATATGGGTCTATCCTTATAAATATTGATAGAGGAATTTATTTCTACATTAATGTTATTCATTGGGGGTATCGAAATAATGGACCGATTTTAACCATTTTCGTCCATGGGTCAAAAGAAGAGTATGTGCCAAATTTCATCAAATTATCTTTAAAACTGCGACCTGTAGCGTGTGCACACGCTTTACATGGACACACAGAGGGTCAGGCAAATCAACTCAGAAAGTGATTCTGAGCCGATTGGTATACTTTAGGGTGCGTGTATGACCCATATTTTTGGGTGTTACAAACATCAGCACAATTGCATAAAACCCTCCCCACTACACACAGTGGTATAGGAAAAAAAAAAGAGGGAAATAATTCGGTAACTTCTAAACGGTTAATCCGATTTTAATGAAATTTGGTATGCACAAAGAGGAGGTGTTGTCGAGTTTAGGTTTTGAATTTGGACCTTATAGGCCAACCAGGTGCCCGGCGGGGGGTCCTCAAATTAGGACACCTCGGCTATGTTAAATTTTTAAAACGATCCTATTTCTTCATTTGAGTTCCGATTTAAAAAAAATTTCGTATATAGAATCTCCTCATCGAGCACTATAAAAAATGTTGTCATAGCAGTAAATTATCTCTTATAGTTTAGGAGATATTCGCATTTGAAAATTAAAATTTTAAAATTTTTACCGTCCTTACTTTAGTTTTTTTGATAATAGCAGGTCCAAATATTTCCGATTTTCGCCATTTTTTTTTTATTTGCTTAACAACAAGTTTATATACCAAGCAGTGAAAGAATTATGTAAAAATCATGACTGAGTCCAAAGTTATAGGCATTTAAATTTAAAAAATTAAAAAAAGGCGATTTTTTGTCATTTTTTTGGGAAAAAAGTATCTTTTTCTTTTTAAGTTATCTAAAAAGTTTCTAAGAAGATGTATATAGAATTTATACTTTTTGGAAAGCTGACTTTACATAAAATACGATAAATGAAACAAAACCTAAAAATTTTTGATACCGAGGGGACCAGGTCCATCCAAAAAAACCCTATTTTTTATGGAAAATTAAATTTTGAGCAAAAATTCTCAAATCGCATAGTCGATATCAAATTATAGTGACCTGTTTTATATGACCCAATAAGTTCTTAATCATTTTGTAACGGGTTTCGATAACCCCGCCCCTGGTATGGATATAATAGGCAAAAAACCAAAAAATCCCATTTTTGGGATTTTTTAAAACTTTTTTGGGAATTCCGGGATTTCTAATAAGAAAATTCGAAATTTTTATTTAATTTTGGATTTTGAGTAAAAAAATCTACCTAACTGTAAAATTTCATCAAAAAATATTCATAAATAAAATTTTTATTGCAATTTGAAAAATTTGTATCTTCGCAAAAACTGAATAAAAAACATTTTTTAATTTTTTTTAAAAAAAGTATTCCGCGAATTTTTTAATTTTCAAAAATTATATACAGTTTTGAAAAATAGACAAAATTACCTTTCCATTGATATATAACAAATGTTTTTTAAGTGACAAATTAATTAGGGAAAACTCAACATCTTTTAGAAAATTTACCTAGCACTATTATTTTCATCCATATATGTAACAAATTTAAGAGTTAACCTTATGGATGAAAATAATAGTGCTAGGCAAATTTTCTAAAAGATGTTGAGTTTTCCCTAACCTAAACTCCTCTTTGTGCATACCAAATTTCATTAAAATCGGATTAACCGTTTAGAAGTTACCGAATTATTTCCCTCTTTTTTTTTTTCCTATACCACTGTGCTACAGTGGTATAGGGTATAAAAACTAGGGTGATCGATTATAAAACATGGCCTAACTGATTTTTAACAGTTTAAAAGATAATAACTTTAGATCTAGTCGTCTGATTTACATTACTTCTTTAATGTAAAAAAAATTGGTCCTAGCAAAAGTTGTCCAAAGGAGATATCTATTTATTCAATATTTCCAAAAAAATTTTTTTAATTTTTTTTAAATATATTTTTTTTAAGTTTTTTTCCAAGATCCCCTTTTTTGGCTCAGATGAAAGGTTATACAATTTCGTAAGTAACCAGAAAGCTCTTAAAGCTCTTCCTTTTGAGCAAAAAAATAACAACAACGAAGTCCATTTAAAAAAATGGGGGAAAATTAAGTGCCAAATATTGAAAAAAATCTTATTCTTGAGTTAAAAAATACCTGTTCTTGATCGATAGAGCTGAAAATTTGTGTCTGGCCTACTATCAAATAGTACTAAACATAGTGCAAATTTCAAAATTTCCAATCGATTTTTTGAGTTGGGTCACTTGACATGAAATTGGCCATATATATATTTTTATACCCTACACCACCATAGTGGGGAGGGTATTATACGTTTTTGCTGATGTTTGTAACGCACAAAAATATTGGTCCTAAACCTTAAAGTATACCGATCGACTCAGAATCACTTTCTGAGTCGATTAAGCAATTTCCGTCTGTCCGTCCGGCTGGCTGTCCATGTAAACCTTGTGCGCAAGGTACAGGTCGCAATTTTCAAGATATTTTGATGAAATTTGGACCATACGTGTGGTTCGGTCCAACGACGAAAATGGTTGAAATCGGTCCATTATTTCACCTAGTCCCCATACAACCCTACCCTCCGAAAAGAGCTTTTGAGTTTATAATTATGTTAAATATTGTAGTATCGTTAAAACTTATTTCTATATACGCCTTAATAATACTACCGATTTTCGTAATTATCGGACTTTATTTGACCCTAGCTCCCATACAAAGTCCCCTTCAGAAAATGACTTGAAAGTCAATAATTCACTAATAAACACTCTAATCACTTTTTTCAACAAATTGTTAAAATATTTCAGAATTAAGGTAAACTACTAAAATGCTTTATTATTAAAAATAATCCATATTTTTAACATACTCAGTAGTGTACTTGTTTTTTTTTTTTATTTACTACTTGTTTTTTTTTTTATTTAAGAATTTTTATTCATAACCGAGATCATATTTAAGCAATTGATTGATGAAAAACTAATTTTCCAGAAGCTTGGGGAAATATGGAGCGATCCTCATAAAATTTTCCTAAAATCTATTTATGCAAAATTTTGTCGCAACGTTAGTCTTTTTAAGCGATTTTTGGACAATTAAGTCATATTCTGAAGGGGGCGACTCAGTGATGATTTCAGTGAAAAATTCTAAAAGAGATTTTTAAATGGTGGCTAGGGTCAAATATTGACCGATTTTGTGGATGGGTTTATGTTTAAATAAAATTTATTTGAGTACATTTTCCAGATGACAGTTTAAACATTTCAATTTCAAATGAATAAATATATTGTTATGCTAATTTTATTTTTTTTGCGAGATCTTTATATGAATTATGGATAATAAAAGGTATAAAAATTAGTTCGTTACTTTTCATATATTAGCGGTACATGTGATTTGAATTTAGAATATTTCGAAGAAAATATTTTGTTGGTAATATTTTGAAAAATTAGTCGTAATAATTTGCTATTATATTTTGTAAATAAAACCTTATCAAATTATTTTAGTCCAAATATAAGAAAAATGCATAAAAACTTTTAGTAAAATCGGATTATGTTAACCTATAAACTGTGAAGGTTAAAGTAAAATAGGATTTTGTACCTGTCAATAAACATTGATTGTTATTCCTTTCAAAAAGTGTGGAGTATTTTTAAATGTTTTTCAGAAAGTAAATCTTTTTCAGAAAGTTTTCGTACAATATATGTACATAGCATAATGTCCTCTGATTTTTAAAGCTTTTGTTGCATTAAACCAACATCCGTTTCCACATAAATTGTTGAACAATAACAAAGAATTTATTAAAAAAAAAAGAAAAAGAGGTGCCCATGTTGAAATATCATAAAAAGAGAACTTTCACAAAATAAAGAAGAATAATAAGTAATAAAAACATAAAAGTCGTCGATGACTTTGTACACTTTTTCCATTTACCATTTTAATTTTTTCTTTTGTTCTTTTTTATAAAAATGATTTGTTCACGGAATTAAATTGTGTTGACGCGACAAACCACTGAATGCTGAAATGGCGAGAGGGGGAAGTAAAGTTCGCTGGAGCCTGCCTTCCTTTTGGGGTTTCTTTCATTTTGCAAAAGAAAAAAAAAAACAATATGAAATGTCCTTTTATTTTCCTTTTCAGGATGAACGCATAATTACAAAAGTTATAAAACGTTTTAGTATCAAGTAATTTTATTGATATTTTTTATATTTATTATAATTGAAAACACTCTTTGAATTATTGTTGAGAAAAGAGGCTAAAAATCTGCTGATTTTAATTTGATAAAACTAAGAAATTCACAGATAAAACAATGAATAATTAAAATGTATACGATATTTTTTATTCATTAAAGGTCCTTATCGCCGGTGTCCGGAAGCTGTAAATATATTTTTACTAAAAAAAGAAGAGCTTCTATGGCAGCTCACATACCACCACCTAATACTCCAACTACTCCATTGCCACAAAGACGAAATCGTTTCTATAGTTTACCAAAAAATATTTTATTAGCACGACAATCGACTACATCGCTTACAAAGAACTCCTCCGATGAGCTGCTGTCTACAAAGACAACGAGTTCTCCAAATAAAACATACTACTCCGATTCTGAGGTGGATGGTAAAGACAGTGGAAAACACAAAAAATGTTCAGCCGAAGACAATGATTCAGAATTTCTTCAGTTGCCTCCTATATGCACGTGTCCGTATTTTGGCAACAAACCCCTGCAGAACTGCTTAAAGCCGGCAGAAGTTAAAATTATACCAACCACTTTCAGGATGACAACAACATCGCCCAGCGACATTGTAACTACATCGACAGGAGATGAGAGCAGTTTAGTCTTAACTAACACTACAACAACATCTAGTTTAAGTCCACATACTGTCCCCATCTTGAACTGCAATCATTCGGCAAGTTCCCTGACGGTTCACTCCACTAGCGATGGTTGCTATTTAACTGCTCCTCAAACACCAAAACGAAAATTAAGCATATCAAAAACTGCCTCCATTGTAACGTGGGATTCGGGGAGACATCGCAGAAGGGGTTCCAGTTTTGGTGGAGCACACACTTCTTTGCTGCTAACACCCACTAAAACAGGCTCTTTAACAACATCTACGTCGGCGACACCGTTGAGAAGATCGGCCACTTTAAGAAGTCATAAAAATATGAATTACAGTGCCGCCGACATGGCTCCTGCAAGTTCGATGAAAACAAAATCCAAATCCCCCCACTCGTCACCATGCCTTTTGCAACGCAATCAAACAATAAGGTCACACCATTCTCGAAATTCCAGTGTGATTTCAAGAAACTCCTCACGCCATGGCCGTATAATTCGACTCGAACAAAAAGCCACTAAAGTATTGGGGGTGGTATTTTTCACATTTGTAATCTTGTGGTCACCATTCTTCGTGCTGAATCTTTTGCCCACCGTATGCGGAGATTGCGAAGACAATATAGACCATTGGGTGTTCGACGTGGTCACCTGGTTGGGATATGCTAGCTCTATGGTAAATCCCATATTCTACACAATCTTCAATAAAGTATTTAGACAAGCCTTTAAAAAGGTACTCTTGTGCCGCTACGCAAGTGGGTCAGGGTGGCGGCCACATAGGTAGCATACGCCGGTTCCAACGACCGCATTCAAAAATATTGCTGAAAATAAAAAAAGTGATAAGAGTCATTCCGTCGAAATTCTTGGGGACAACAGATCAACAGGCTTAGACACAGTTGGTAGTTTTAAACCAAAATCATCTATTGTTAAAAATTTCGGTTGGAGGTTCTCTTCGAAAAGTAGCCGTAGCAGGTAAAACATTAACATTACACCAGTGGTAATTACACATATAGCAATAACAATACATTCCTTTTTAATTATAATTGTACAAATAAAAGTAGTATAATAAGAAAATATTCCCTAAAACCTAAAGTATTTTAATGAAATTTTATTTTGTTTAGAAACACTTATCAAGAATCATGATGTATAATTGCATATCTGTAATGTTCGATTATATTTCAGAAATTGCTATACTATACTATACTAATCATTCAAAATCATTGATTTATTTTTCAATAAATCTTCTAGCTGGAAAATAAAAAAATGTGAATGAATTATTTTCAATACCAATGAAATTATGGATTTTTTTGTAATTGATAAACTAAATTATATTGTAACCAGGGTTGGCAAATTTGGTACAATTGTACTTTTCTTGGTACAATTCAATCGTCGAAAGTACAATGATTCACCAATGACTCATTTTGTACAATTTTAAATTCATTTCCTTTTTGAAATAATAATCTGAAATTGTACTTCTGACACAAAGTTCAAAGGTAGGTAGTCCTTCGATAAATTCTTAAGAGGAAAAATACAACTCTTATTTATTCTTTCGTATTGAGAAACCTGGAACAGATTACAACCAGGCAAGCTGTAATAACTTTCAACAAAGAGTATTTATTTAGGTTTATTTTTTTATTCGATCGCTAAAATTTGAAATAATTTTTAGGGTCTTTTAAGTGCTATAGACTTTTAAAGTACTTTTTACTAGTCTAGGTACAAGTCGATGAATTAGTCTTTGCGTTATTTAGCGACTATCCTATTATCTAGTCTTTAGAGTCAAGTCTAGTTTATAGACTACTCTGTGAATTTGCTTCTGGACTAATATATGTACAACATTCTAATCTATAGACTAGTGAATATTCTACTCTTATGTCTAAGCATAAGACTAGTCTTTAGAATAGTCTATTGTCTAGTTTATGTACTAAATTTTTGTGTAGCCCATAGGGAGGCTATATACTGTCTATTCTAGTCTATGGACCAATTTGGTGACCAAATGGACTTGTTTATTGACAAGTCTAATGACTAACCTATGTCTAATACAAATGAACTGTTAATTTTGAAAGTGCTTCATGTTGATATAAAATGTCCCAAACATTTGATTTGGTACAAGTGGGATCAAAAAAGTACAATTGTTAATGCAGTTTTGTACAATTTGAAAATTCTATTTGCCAACCCTGAACTTCTTTGTTAAATTTTTCTAGGACCAATAGGTGAAAAGTTACATTAATTTGTATAAAACCCTGAATGACCAAAATGTCCAACTTTGACCCCGCTCTAACTCCTTCAGTTCTTAAACGATAGAGCTGAAAATTTGTGTCTGACCTACTATACAATAGTACTAACCTTGGTGCAATTTTCATCCAAATCGATTTTTGAGTATTGTGACTTGATTGCCCATATATATGTATATGAATATGAAATATAAGAAGTAAGACGTCTGTCTATATTCCCCTTTGCCGTGTGTGTGTGTTAAAAAATATTAATTTTATAAAATTTCAATTTATTTTACTTTCGCGACTTTAACATTACTTTAGAAATAACAAAAGCAAAAATAAATAAATAAATAAAGAAATAAAAAAATAAAACACAAAGAATACAAAATACACAAGGCAATGAAACCAACACACATTCAAATATACGTTTTTCACAAATACACAAAACAATGAAACCAACATACAATCAAACATAAGTTTTTTTTTTTCAAATACAAATAATGTATCATGATTCCATTGCATATTGTTGCTAAATTTTGGTCAAGTAAATTCCCGAGTCCATGAAAAGTTATTTCTGATATTTTGCTGAAATCGAGAATCGTTAACCCTTTTAAAACTGGGGCATCGATGATAAATTTGTTTTGTATTTTTCTCTGAATACAAAATAGATGTTGCATGGTGTGCCTCAAATTGTTAATTTTTATTACTAATTTCAGTGAAATAGGCGATTTATTTAACAAGATTGGAATCCCAAAAAGACATTATTTTATTAACTGTAGTAATATTATAATTTAAAATGTATTAGAACCTTAAATTTTTTTATTTTAATAGCTAAGTGTATAAATGACGGAAAAAATAAAAAGGATTGCGGGAAATAATTATTTTCGAAAAAGCAAGGTAAGATTTTTGAAGATTTTTCTACTTATTTTCACAGAGCTAAATCTAATACAAATTGGATTAAATACTGCATTAAAACGGATCACATCTATCGAAAGTATGAAGAAAAAATCGTAACGTTGTTATGCAATGCATACACGATGCGACCTTTTTAAATAACTTTGCTTACAATCAAGTTTCGTATATCGCACACAGAAGATGGTATCGTGTGCCTATAACTGCAATTTAAATGTAAAATGTTTCTTATTTGGTATAATAAATAAAATTTTTATTAATTTTATAAAGTAAAACTCCGCATTTCAGCTGAATTTTTAATTTTTTTAATTGTTTTTTACGCACACACGAATTACAGTTAATTTAGGTATTACAAATTAGTATTACATTTAATTATAAGGAAAAAAATCACAATTACAAGTAATTAAAAAACTTCAAAAATAAAACTGTTAAAGTTATAGTTTTTTCAATATTTAGCCAGTCGAAATAACACATTTATTTCCGACATATGTATTTTTATTCTGTCTGTATAGTGCTTTCTAATGCCAACACACCCGTTAGTTTTTTATCAAAAAATTTGGTGGATGGATTGAAATATTTTCTGTTGAATTTAATCGCGATATTTGTGATTAGTGGTATAGGGAACTATTTACTCTGCTATATTTACTGTATGTAAGTTTTTGTCACAGTGTAATTAATGTACACCGTTTGTTATATTTTCAATGAAATTTCCTTCAATTTGTTTTTACAGTGCTGCTTATCCTTGAATAATAGCTTTTGAATTGAAATAAAAATCAATAGAATTACTCAAACATCTATATCTTACTTACACACTGCCATTAAACAATATCAGGTAGTAAAAAATAACCATATCCTGAACACACGTCCAAAACTATAAAACATTCAATATACAAATAATACAGAAACAGTGCCTACAATGAGTCGGTCCTTTTTTATTCATAATTTTTATTGCTGGCTTTATTTACCAACAATACTCAAATAGTTTAAAAATTTCAATAGTTAATGGACTAACTGTTCTTCGAAAACAATAAAGTATATATCGTATATGTACATTAGATAGACTCACAAAAAATGGAGCTGGAGTTAGCCTTCTCAAAATATTCGTTGGGTTTAGTTGGTTCATGAACTGGGCAGTTTTCAATAAAATGTCCTATAGGGGACACGATTATACATGTTCAGTTTTTACCCAGCTTCAAAAAATCTTTGTTTCGTTTAATTTTGATTCCCAAAATATTTTGAGTCTATCGATGACCTCTCGTAAGCTGGACCGGTTACAAAGAAGTCAGTTTTTAGTTTTTTTACAAGTTACAAAATTGAGCACAGTTTATTTCAAATTGAACCTAATATAGTACGCAAACCTTCCAAGTATAATAAATTCTACAAGAGAAGCAGAAAAACATCAAAAGGCGCTATTTTAAAATTGTTTCATAACTGGTATTGAAAAACGAGAAATCAAGGAAGAAAACTGCATTTACAGATTTTAAAAATATTGAAAAGAAGCAAAGTTTTGTAGCTTATACTTTAAAATTTTATGAAAAGGGCTTGCTTCAAAAAAGCACTACCAATAACAAGATTTCCACAGAAAGTGAATCAGTCTAATGTATATATTTATTGTATATTAGATCTGCCCTTTATCGACTTTAAAATCATTTCGATTTAGATACATAAAAACAAAATAAGCCCCATTCAAAATAACTTGACTTTTAAGTGCAAGTCTAATAAATATATAATAGAAAAATATGAATGTTTTATGGAACATTTATTCTGTGCCCCACATGGCAACAAAAAACAATTCATCTCATGACTATAGTTCTTTGTAATAAAGAGAAGTAGTAACAAAATAATGGAATGGATGGAAAGGATATCGCTCATTTACAAGATTGACATAACTCTAAAATTATTATTTCGAGAAAACGGCTTGGAATATTTTACTATAGCTTAAATAACGTGCAATTTGACAAATTAAACCAGATTTATATAAATTTTAAATTAAAATTTTACTTATCTAATATTCGAGGAAAAATTAGTTTTAATTATGACGTTCACTTTTTATTGTAAACATAGACATTTTTTAAAATTTATATAAAACTACACATATAAACGATTTTTTTAACATGTGTTATTAATTTATAATACAATCTGTATCATTTTTTTATCTATTACTCTTACATTAGTATTTTATGATGTAACTGAATGTAATAAAATCATTTTTAAATTTTAACACAAAACAAAACAAAAAGATTTATATGTAATAACATTTTATCAATATTTTTAATTGAGAATTCGAATACATTCTTAGAGTTAGTTACCGATTGACAGTAGACTTTCATTCCATTATTGAAGAAAGATTTCAGTTTAACTGATATACTTACACAATTTCACCTACAAAATGTTTGCTGTTATGCTTTCTTTGTAAAGCCATTTTTTGGAATGAACGTTGGTTTTGAAAAACTCAAATAAAATTTGATCTAGATTACATTTCGAAAACGCTTAAAGTTTAAAGTTATTAAATAAATCTATGTAAAATTCAAAAAATCTTAAAAAAATTTTTCGAAAAATTTCATGATTTTTAAAATATCACAAAAATTTATGAACGCCATGTCATCCTTTAGCATGAAAAGTGAACAAATTGTATATATGTTTTACATAAAATATATTTTTTTAAATTAACCCCGTAGTTGAATCATCTTAATATACTTACATACATACATAAAATAAACATACACACTTAGGTACATACAATGTTATTAAGTCTTTCAAATAATTCAATTAAAATCATCATCACTACACTGCGTGCTATAGGTACTGTGAGTATGACTATAATGTGATAAAAGGTTAAATAACAATATTAAAGCAAAATTAATAAGTTATTACCAAGTTTATATTTTACTAAATATTTATATTAGATATCAAATTAAGTGCTTGTATTACTTTTTACCTTCAAATGCATTTTTAATAGATTCCATGAAAGAAATATTCCTAAATTTTGCTTTTAAGCAAAACATGTCATAAAATTATAAAATAACGC